CTGTCAGAATAGCATTGAGACCTGACAACACGCAGGAGTGAGGTTATGTGGGAGAGGAAATAGAGCGAACAGATGGTCCTGGGATTGGAGAAAGAAGAAACATGGGCTGACATTAACAACAGAGACTGGACATGACAGCTTCAGTTCTGAGAAGGAATGAGTGGACTCTAGGGGACTAGTAGCTTCCATGTCAGAACCGGGAAACACAGCAGCCAATACCCAGCACGATGTGGCCTTCATTCTCAGGCAGCAGTGGGGCAGAGCTTTCCATCTGTGTCCCGCCGGCTTCATGAACCGTCTCTGCCTGCTTAATTGTTCACCCATGAACATCTGTTCTTATGTCTCCTGTCTAAGCCCAGCCTTTTAGGTTATTTTCCTCCAGCTGTTTCTGTCAGTGCTCACCTGGAGGGCAGTGCTCTCGTGAGCTCTAAACATTATTGTCTGGCCAGGAAGCCAGTCCAGCGCACGCTGATGGCCTCCACCCTCGGTTCTCCCCCCGGAACCCACTCAGACATCTGGGTTTGTTTAGAAAGTGCCACTGGAGCATTTGACTTTGGCTCTGGAATTTGGTGGTAGTGTTTTGGAAAGTTGTGTGGTCCATCGGGTACGCAGACTGACGCTAGATCTTCCATGCTTTAGGTTGTTTCTTACCACAGTGAATAGGGGTTTTCTGAAAACAATTCAGATGGATGCAACTAGATTAAAAAAAAAACATATGCAAGAGCTTGACTTTGAACAACAGATGAAAAAAAAAGAGGACAATTATTTGTTGACTGCAGAGGTTCACCGAAGGGTACGGGGCACATCCTTTAAGTTCTCTGAGTCTTGGTTTCCTCATCTGAGAAAAGGATAATGATACGTGCTGTGTATCACACACAGTATGAAAATTTTGAAGATGACATCGAGGTTAGATCACAGCTCAAAATTTTATGGTCTCATTTCTTCTCTGAGCGTCAGCAGAGGAGAGCCACGTGTTCTGGGAAGAATGACTTCCTGGAACGGGGTGTGTGTGTTGGGGGAAGAGGGCGGAGATGGTCTGCTGTCTTTTCTGGGGACGGTGAGTAGAATGCCCTCGTAGTGATTAATTCCTTGATAGTGTGTTGAGAAGATGGCTTATGAGCAGTAACGCCTCTCCCTTTCTTTCCTAGTGTCCTTTTGTCCTGGAGGCTCACCCTCCTCTGTTCATATCCTGATTCCATGAAGGTGGCCCTTTCCAGTAGCACCTTCGCCTTAGTGTAGATGGGAGGGATAGCAAAGCCCGGAATCGCCATTTTTGCTGCTTTCCCCACTGCCTGGGCCAGCTGTGTTTCCTCCTGCACCATTTCCCTGGTTCTCTGCATCCTTAAAGCCGGGACTTTGGCTTGCACGCCCCCTAGTGGCACCTGTGATGCACCCCAGTTACCTTGTTTGTGGTACCATGACAGCTGCTCTCTCCATCCATCTCTGTTATCAAGTATTAACTCCATTTCACAAATGCGGGATGAGAGGTTTAGTGATTCCGACTTGCCACTCAAGTAGGACCTGGGGAGGTGGGATTTGAATCGGAACTTTTGATTTTGAGATTTATACAATGTGAATGCTTCAGAGAAAAACACGATGTGGTTATAGCTTTTCTAGTTTTCTTTTCTTATGGTTTAAAAAGAATCTAGAGATTATTTTAATATCTACTCAGCTCATCTGAAAGTATTAAAATGTGAATAGTTGAAGATAAGAGTGATTATTTTTTTTTTTATCCTTTCTCCATTACATTGGAAAAACTTTTGTCACTCACTGAGTGTTCAGTATTTCCTGCTCAGTCCTCTTAACAACTTTGGGGAATACCAACAATGTATAAAGCATGTCTGCCCTTCAGAGGTTTACATTCTAGTTTTGAGATGTATAAATTTATTCCGCTTGAGGAAAAAATAAATATAATGCATGATAACTTTAATTAGCGATTAATATTTCTACTTTATCTCACTAACGAGAGGCTCTCTGAACATTTGCTTGTTTATTTTCAAAGTCTTTTTCAGTGGAGAGAGAACCACAGGATAACAACAGTAATTACCCAGATGAACCCTGGAGGATAACAGAAGAGCAGCGCGAGTACTATGTCAACCAGTTTCGATCCCTTCAGCCCGACCCGAGTTCCTTCATTTCAGGTAATGAAGTCTGACACGTAAGAGCGTGGCTCCCAGATCACTGTCTCTCGTAAATAACAATGCACATCTTGAGAAATAGTTCACACAAAATGAGTACGACCACGTTCTGTGACTTCAATTTGTTTTCCTCTAAGATCGATTTTCTTATCAACTATAAACCATGCAGAAAAACACTTGGCAATGACATTTGGAAAATTATGTTTCATTTTTCAGAGGAGTTACAAAGGGATTTTGGGGGAACCTGGTCCAGACCTTGTGCTTTATTAGCTGGAGCAGTTCTTAAAATGATAGAGTGTGGCACCAAGGCAACATCTTTAATTGCTTACTCATTATATTAGTTAGAGCAAGGATGTAGTATAGCCTTCTAGAGTTAGTGTCACAGTCTCCTTATGTTATATACACCTTAGAAATTCAAATTCTTGCTCGCTTTCTTTGGCTCAAGACTTTGTCCTCTGTTTTTTTCCGAGAGAAATTAAAATATGGGAGGAAAATTGGCCAGCATTTTTATGCCCACATGTCAGTTCTTCTGAGTTGTCTTCAGAAATATGTATTCTTGTTGCATTCTCATGTAAAATTCAAGCTGAGAGGAGTTGATTTAATTCCTGTGTGCCTACGTTTTACTGGGCCAAAGACTAAACAGAGTGAAATAGTAGAATCCGGAAGAAAAATTCATAAAACTTTCTTTTTATATTTCGATTTTGAAGAATAACAGTATGTCCTTGATAATTGTAACCTGACATTGAAGTGAGGACTAAGACTAATTTTCTTTTGTGAAATAAGGTGTGTAATTGAAATATATTTGTATAATTGCAGATGTCATTTTCTGATTGGTGGTAATGGATTTATTGAAGGCAGAATATTGTAGATACAACAAATTGATGTTGACAACATGATTTAAAAAATGGGCAGAAACACAGATTGTACTGACTACTTGCTAACCTTACCACTGCTTAAATGAGTTTCTTCAGAATGTATGCAAATGATTAGACAAATACAAATAGGTAGCTGTTAGGAATGTTTTTACTTTCTTTTAGCTGTTTTATTTTGCAGCATTTCAAATATAGATATAGCTAGAGTGGCTAATATAACAAACTCCTACGTACCCATCACATAGCCCCAACGATTTCGTTTTTCCTATATCCTCTCTCAGCCCAGATGATTTTGAAGCAATGACCAGATCATTTCATTTGAAAATATTTCAGGATGTACCTGTAAAGATAAAGCCTCTTTTAAAGACATAACCACAATTCATTGGCACGTGTTAAAAAAATTCCTTAGTATTATTAAATCTCCATTGTTCAGATTTCTGTGATTGTCTCACAAATGCCTTTTTAAAAAAGTTCAAGGTCAGTAGGGGTTCATATACTGCAATTAGATGATGTCTCTCTTTAAAAAACATCTTTATTTAGATATTCATATACTATAAAATTTACCTGTTTAAAGCGTACAGTTCAACAGTTTTAGTATATTCGTAAAGTATATTTACAATATAAATTTAGAACACTTTCATTAGCCCTCCCCCAATAAACTACCTACTTATTAGCAATTATTCCCCATTCTTGCTCTCCCACCTCCCAGCCTCAGGTAGCCACTAAACTGCTTTTTTTCTCTATAGATTTGCTTTATTCTTGATGTTGTACTAACTTTATTCTTTTTTATGACTGATTAATATTCCTTCTGTGGATGTGCCACATTTATCTATTCATCAGTTGATAGGCATTTAGGTTTTTTCCTCTTTTTGGCTATTAAGAATAATGCTGCTATGAACGTTTGTGTATAAGTTTTTGTGCAGATGTATGTTTTTATTTCTCTTGGGTATATACCTAGGAGTGGAATTGCGGGATCATATGGTATCTCTATGTTTAACCATTTGAGGACCAATCAGACATTTTTCCAAAGTGGTTGCATCATTTTACATTGCCACCAGCATTGTATGAGGGTTCCAGACACTCCACATCCCTGCCAACACTTGTTATTATAGATTGTCTTTTGATTATAACCATTCTTCTGGGTGTGAGGTGGTATCTCTTTGTGGTTTTGATTTGCATTTCCTAGATGAATAATGATATTGAGCATCTTTTCATGTTCTTATTGTCCATTGTATATATTCTTTGGAGAAATGTCTGTTCAAATCCTTTGCCATTTTTTCTTATTGGGAGGTGAGAGTTCTTTATGTATTCTAGATACAAGTTCCTTATCAGAAATATGATTTGCAAATATTTTTTCCCAGTCTGTGTCTTTTTATTTCTTTGTGTCTTTTGAAGCAAAAAGTTTTTAATTTTAATAAACTGATGTCTAGTTTATCTAATTTTTCTTATTTGTGCTTTCGGTGTCATTAAAGTAAAATATCATTGCCTAATTTGAGGGCATGAAATTTACCTCTATATTTTCCTCTAAGAAGGAATCTATATTACATTGTTATCTCTTACATTTAAGTTGTTGATCCATTTGAGTTAATTTTTGTATGGTATGAGGCAGAGGTTCAGATTTATTCTTTTGCATGTGAATGTCCCATTGTCCCAAAACCATTTTTTGAAAAAAGCTGTTTCCCGCCCCCCCCCCCCATTTAATTGTTTTAGCATTCCTGTCAAAATTCAGTTGATGTAAATGTGAGGGTTTATTTCTGGATGTTAATTCTATTTCACTGATCTATATGTTTAGCCTAATGCCCGTGCACAGTGTCTTGATTATTGTAGGAAGTTTTGAAATCGGGAAGTGGGAATTCTTCAACTTTGTTTTCAGTTTTATTTGATTTCAATTTTTAGGGATTGTGTTTTTAAACTTTAATTTTATAGTTATCTAAAATATTCACGTGATTCTAAAGTCACATCTATAAAACAATCTACAAAGAAGTCTGACTTTTATCTCTATCCTCTGTACCTTGTTCCCTCCTGTCCTTCCACCTTTTTTATGATTTATCTGTGTGTTTTTAAAAATAAAAGCAAGTACACGTATGCATATCTCTGTATATTTGTGTGTGTATTCTTATCTCTATCTTGGAAAAATGGTAGCATACTATTTATACTTTTCTTCACCTTGCTTTTTTCACTTAATAGTATGTCATGGTGATTATGCCATAGTTGCATGTAGAGATATTTCCCCTTCCCTTTTATAGCTGTGTACTACTGGATCGTGTGAATGTGCAAACATTTATTCAGCCTGTCCTCTATTAGGATTATTTCTAGTCTTTTGCTGTTACAAATATTTGTTGTGAATAGCCTTTTGCATGCCTTTTTATATTTTTGTCAATGTATCTTTGGATAAAGTGATTTTGTGAGATACTGCAAAACACCTCTTCACTGGCATTGTGCCATTTTGTCATCCCACCAGCATTGTATGAGAAGCCTATTTCCCCAGTCTTGTTAGCAAAACATGTTAACTTTTATTTTCCCCCATCTGATAGGCAAGAAATCATATCTTGTGTGGTTTTAATTTATAGATCTTTTATGAACAAGGTCAAAACTTTTTATATAATTAAGAGTCATTTGCATCTATTTTTGTGAACTCTCTTAGCTCTACCCATTTTTATATTGGGTTACTGCCCTTTGTTTTCAAAGTCTGTATATATTCGGTGTGCTACCATTTTATCCCTGATGTATCAATGCTGTGTGTAGCTGTAGTTTACTGGGCTGAATGTCTTCCTGTTGTAATAACAAGTCTGAATCCATGTTTTGATGACTGACTGCTGACAGCTTTTAAACCTGCCCTCTTGTGCCCCTCACGTGGCTTCCCAGCAAGGTCTGAAATGGCTGGAAAGAACGAGGAAAGGAGGCTGGCTTGGGATTTCTGTGGTTGCTGGGAGTGGGGCTGGGGTGAGGGTTCTGTCTCATGATTTGAACTGTCACCGGCACCAAAGGAGGGAGCATTTGGGCTTTCTTATTTAGCTTCCTCCTTTGGCAGGTGGCAGCCAGGGCACACCTGAACTTGTTAGCTGTCAGCTTCCCTATGGGCTCCACATAACCTTTCTGGGGCACCATGGTGCAAGGCCAGGACTGAAGGCCAGGCCAGACCTCTAGTTGTGGGTTCGGGCCTAGTGTGATTTGAAGAAAGGCTATAAGGAAAAAGAAGAATGACGTGAGAGGAAACTGTCTTTATATCTATAAAATAGCTAATAAATAGGCTTTCAGGACACTTTTGACAAATGTTTGACAAGGTAGTTGCATTGATGACCAACAGTCATATGTCAGCATTATTTCCGGAATGCTTTTGGGGAGAAGGCTCATTGGTTTATAGGGCCCTTTGCCTTTGATCTTTAATAATCTATCAAAGGATAAGAATTCTGCTTCAGGGTCCATTATAATTCATCGTTTTGGGGCTAATTAGAAGACTTGTAATTGCCATGGAATGACTTTTGACTTTATCAGCTTAAAATAGAGCTTGGGGCTTTGATTTGATTATTTGTGTTAGAATTGAGGCCTTTGAACTATGAAACTGTTTAGAGAACCGGAAGCATAAAAATTTCAATCTCAACAATGATTGGGTCAAACATTTTAAGTGCAGCTGGTACTTACAGCTATGTAACATGTAAAATGGTTCTCAGTTGATTTTGATTTGACTTTATCAGCTTAAAATAGAGCTTGGGGCTTTGATTTGATTATTTGTGTTAGAATTGAGGCCTTTGAACTATGAAACTGTTTAGAGAACCGGAAGCATAAAAATTTCAATCTCAACAATGATTGGGTCAAACATTTTAAGTGCAGCTGGTACTTACAGCTATGTAACATGTAAAATGGTTCTCAGTTGATTTTGATTGATATTGCTAAATTCGCAATGAATAAAGTAAAAGAGTTTCCTGGATAAGTTTCTTAAAGAGCCAAGATCTTAA